ATCTATTGCCATGGGTTCTTCCTTAATATATACAGAGGAGAAATAGTTATTTAAAATTCCTGCCTTTTCCTGGTCTTCATTAACTAACACCCCCATTTCAGTTTTTAGTGTACCTACACTTTCATTTTTTTTTTTTTTTAGAATTTATGTACTTTAAAAATGCTTTAGGGTTGGTTTTGCTCTCTTTAGCTATCATTTTTTCATTTTGAAGTTTAGCAAATCTAATTGCCTTTTTGCACGCATTATTTGCATCTGATTTGTCCGATTTAAATGCTTTAAATGCTCTTTTCTTATTTTTAATCTCTTGTTTTACTTCTCTACTAAGCCACATTGGTTTTAATGTTTTTCTTTTATATTTATTTCCCAATGGTACATACTGAGAAATGTACCTTTCTAATATTTGTTGGAAGATGATCCATTTATCCTCAGTGTTCTTTTTACTAAAGAGTTTATGCCAGTCAATATATTGTAAAGCTGCCCTTAACTTATTGAAATTGGCCTTTTTAAAATTATATGTTTTAGTATACCCTATGTGCTTTTGTTTTTTTAAGTTTATTTCAAAGGACACTCTATTGTGATCACTATTTCCCAAGTGCTCACCTACTTGAATGTTGGTCAAAACATCAACGTTGTTTGTTAAAACCAGGTCCAGACAAGCGTCCATTCTAGTTGGTGCTTGTACAAGTTGTGACATGAAGGTGTCATTTAACAAGTTTAACCCCTTAAGGACACATGACATGTGTGACATGTCATGATTCCCTTTTATTCCAGAAGTTTGCTCCTTAACGGGTTAAAAACTTATTTCCTTTTGCTGAGCTACTAGTCCCTCTGTCCCAATTTATGTCCGGGTAACTAAAATCTCCAATAATTAAAGTGTTTCCCAGATTTGCAGCTTTCTCAATTTGCTCAAACAGCTGTTGTTCCTCGTCAATATAAACATTAGGTGGTTTATAACATATCCCAACCAATAGTTTGTTTCCCTTCTTTTCTCCCAAGCAGATATTTACCCATAAAGCTTCCACATTTTCCTCATCGCATTCCATTTGCTTAAGATTTGTCTTTAACTCATGGCTGACATACAAACATACCCCACCACCCTTCTTGTTTTTCCTATCCTTCCTAAATAACATGTACCCATTTAAGTTAACTGCCCAGTCATGTGTCTCATCCCACCATGTTTCAGTTATGCCTATTATGTCATATTGTTTAGTGTATGCTATTGCCTCTAGTTCCCCCATTTTGTAATTTAGGCTCCTTCCATTAGTAAGCATACATTTAATATCATGAGTCACTTGTACTTTTTGTGAATTATCAACATTACACAGCTTCTCTGTTCTGAGCTTGCCCCTCCCCCCATCTCCACCCCCCTTATACTGTGCTAAAGCCCATCTCTTTTCTGTCCTATCTCCATTTTGTAGATTGCTATGACCCTCCCCCCCTACTACTAGTTTAAAATCTCCTCCAACCTTCTAGCCATCCTATCCCCCAGCACTGCAGACCCTCTTCCATTTAGGTGCAATCCATCACTACTAAAGGTTGTACCCAATCGCAAAGTCGGCCCAGTGCTCTAAAAACCCCAAACCCTCCTTCCTGCACCAAGACTTAAGCCACGCATTGACCTCTCTAATCTTCCGCTGCCTTTCCACTGTAGCACGTGGCACAGGTAATATCTCAGAGAATACCACATTGGAGGTCCTTTTCTTAAGTTTGCTACCTAATTCCCTGAAATCATTCTTAATGACCTTCCATCTTCCTCTTACTTTGTCATTGGTACCAACATGGACCATGACCACTGGGTCATCCCCAGCCCCTCCCAATAATCCATCCACTCTGTCAGCAACATGCCGGACCCGAGCACCCGGGAGACAGCAAACTGTCCGGTTGAGCCGATCCGAGCGGCAGATTGCCCTATTTGCACTCCTAATGATAGCGTCCCCTACCACCACAACCTGTCTTGCCTTACTTACATTTTGATCCCCACCCATACTAGGGGGCTGTAACCTCGGCTGTTAGAAGTAACAGCTTCCTCTAATACAGCTACTCCTCAGCTGATGCTCCCAGCATCTTCACTCAAACAGGCAAATCTGCTAGGTTGCACCAAAACAAATCAGGACTAGCTAGCCTTTTCCCTCCCCCCCTGCTTCTTGCCCCACTGTCACCCAGCTACATGCCTGTTTCCCATCTGTCTTATCTCCAGCCTCTCCGCTACCTGTTCCCACTAAACTCTGCTCAGTGAGCAGCAGACTCCTCTCAAGATTGTCAATCTCCCTCAAAGTTGCGATTTGCTTCTCGAGATCTCCAATCTGAGCTTCCAGAGAAGCCACTCGCACACAACCGTCACTGAGGTATGGACCCTGGACGGGTACATCCAGGCATCCATACATGCAACAAGATGTGCATTTAGTCAAACCACCAATCTTGCTAACACTCATTTCCCCAGATACAGAACAATAAAACAATTACCTTGTTAGTTCAAACCCCTTGTAAGTTTCAACACCTGGTTTTCTAACTCCTACTTGAAAGAGTACTTAATAGAGTCTGCGTTCAAGTAAGCTCAGTGAGTTAGGGGTGTGTCTTTATGGGGATACAAATCCCACACAGGTGCAATTAATGAACACTCCCCCAATCAACCAAGCAGCAGCACAAAAGAGGGGGGGGAACCAGAACACAGAAAAAAAAATTAAAACATTTTTTTTAAACTTTACCAATTGAACAGATTAAACAAAAATAAAATACAAACCACTCTCCACAGTATACAAACCACTCCAAGCAACTCCTGGTTTTCTAACTCCTACTTGAGTCTACTTAATAGAGTCTGCTTTCAAGTAATGTGATAATGTTGATGACTGCCTTATTGTGTTGCTCATTTTAAATTTCGATTTTTTTGTCAAACCATCCAAATGTAAATGAATTGAATATGGAAATTTGGGGATAGTAGGAGAAATGTCATCTGATTTGCATATAGTGAATAACACAAGTATTTTTGACTCACACCTGAGCATTCAAACACATATTTGATATTATTAAATAATCACCTAAGGTAGAAATATCAATGAATACTAAAAGCATTTTGCAAAAGATTATGGAGAAGTTCAAAAGATTTTAATGTACATGCACAGTAATTCTCACCACAACAAATACTTTCTGCGATGATGTTTGATTTAGATGTGGAGCCTGTTGCTATTTATTGTTATTTTGCTGTCCATCCATTGTACACAGAGGCAGCTTTCTAATTAGGTGAGTTAGGCAGCCTCCTCAACCCTCGTGCTGACTGGAGCCTCATGGCCACCTAACTAGCCTTAGGGCAGACTGATCCCTCAGGTACCTCCCACACCACTGGTGGAACTAAGAAAGTGCAAGAAATTTTTTGGAACCTTTTCTAGCACAAGGGTGGCCAAAAGGTAGATCCCCATCTGTCCTTCAACTCCCACAATGCTATGTCAGCTGGGGATCTACCATTTGGCCGTTCTTGCAGGGTTTCATTTGTGAACAATGTTTGTGCATTTGAATGTATGCATGTTTTTGTATGGACTATATGTGTGTGCATATAGTGTGTAATTGTACAGTGAGGGAAAAAAGTATTTGATTGTTGATTTTGAACGTTTGTCCACTAACAAAGAAATGATCCGTCTATAATTTTAATGGTAGGAGTATTTTAGCAGTGAGAGACAAAATACCAAAAAAAAAAAAAAAATCCAGATAAATGCATGTCAAAAAAATTATAAATTGATTTACATGTCAATGAGTGAAATAAGTATTTGACCCCTTCGACTTAGTACTTGATGGCAAAACCATTATTGGCAATCACAGAGGTCAAAGTTTCTTGTAGTTGGCCACCAGGTTTGCACACATCTCAGATGGGATTTTGTCCCACTTCTCTTTGCAGATCCTCTCCAAATCATTAAGGTTTCAAGACTGATGTTTGGCAATTTGAACCTTCAGCTCCCTCCACAGATTTTCTATGGGATTAAGGTCTGGCAACTGGCTAGGCCACACCAGGACCTTAATGTGCTTCTTCTTGAGCCACTCCTTTGTTGCCTTGGCTGTGTGTTTTGGGTCATTGTCATGCTGGAATACCAGTCCACTACCTATTTTCAATGCCCTGGCTGAGGGACGGAGGTTCTCACCCAAGATTTGATGGTACATAGCCCCGTCCATCGTCCCTTTGATGCAGTGCAGTTGTCCTGTCCCCTTAAAAGAAAAAGACCCCGAAAGCATAATGTTTCCACCTCCATGTTTGATGGTTCTTGGGGTTCTTGGGGTCATAGGTAGCATTCCTCCTCCTCCAAACACGGCGAGTTGAGTTGTGTCACGTATTCATCTGCATATAAAAATGTGATTAATGACATTTACTGTTCTGACAGGAAATGTTGTGCCGAGCAGCAATCAAATCCACAGGAGGGTTTGTGCTGACCAGCAATTATACAAATGGGAACCTGGTAACTGCCTTTGGGGTCAATAGCCGATTACAGCCTATCAGATCCAGAGGAGGGGTATTTAGGCCCAGTTCTCATCCTGCTCAGTGCCCTGTCGTGGTTTCCCTTGTGGTTGTCCAAGAGCGCGTTATTGATTCTGGTTATTCTGGTATTTTGACTTTGGCATTGTTTTTGACTTCCCTGTTTTCTGGCACCCCTGACCAGGGCCGGTGCAAGGATTTTTGCCGCCCTAGGCAAAAGTAAAGTTTGCCGCCCCCCCATGTGACATCACAATGCCCCATCCATATGATCTGCCATGTTAACTAACGCCAGTGCTGCAGTGCCGACGTGTTTACATTAAAAGGCCTGCAGGGACAGGCTATAGACACCAGAACCACTACATTAAGCTGCAGTGGTTCTGGGGACTATAGTGTTTCTTTAATGCGAGGTAAATTAGAGATTAGTGCCACTAATAATATACTAGATTGCCTACTTACAACCAGATGAGGATGATGATGGGCTCTAGCTGCAGTCTGGCTCCAGAGGTCTGGTGTAGAACAGGATCTCTGGAGGCTGTTTGTAACTGTGGTCACAAAATCAATGTTCTGGGAGAACGGGAAGCAGCTCCATTTTTTGGGGGGCCCTTTACACAGCTCAAGGTCTGGGTCCCAGGGTCCACCTTCATGTTCCACCAATGAGTTTGTTCACAGGGGGTGGAGTGTGTAGGGGATGTCCTGATATGTGTGTAAGGAATGCATTGTGTGAATCTGTGTTTGTATGTGTAAGGGCTGCAAGGTGTGTTTCTGTGTATGTACGGGATGCAGTGTGTGTGTCTGTAAGGGATGCATTGAGTGTGTGTAAGGGGTGCACTGAGTGTGTGTAATGAACGCATTGTGTGTTTCTGTGTGTGTAAGGGATGCATTATGTGTAAGGGTTGCATTGCTTGTGTATGTGTTTCTGTGTGTGTAATGCATTGTGTGTTTTTCTGTGTGCAAGGGTTGCATCGTGTGTGATTATGACTTAACTACAGTCAGAGAGCCACGACACTGCAATCCTCTGAATGATGAATAAAAAAACTAGCTCTCTGTAACCAGCGCTGCAAGCATGCCCTTCAGTATATCTACAGCTCCTTATACAAACACATTGAAACCCCTATGTTTTCCCCACTATAGGTGTTAGTTTGGGGCATCATGTTTGAGTTTTGTCTAAGGCCTCAAAAAGCCTAGAAACGCCAGTGATTGTATAGTGGTATGGGGAAATGGTATCAGAACATCACAGGACTAGTATAAAAATAACGTCCGAAAAGGATGCAGTGATTAAATCTGAGATAATAATGGGAAACATGCTAGATGTTGAAATGTGAAAAAAAGAAGAAATAATGATAATTCAGCTTGTTAAGGCTCCAGCTGCAGTTTTTGAACAGTCAATTCAAGCCTCAGTATCACAGGTTTCATTTCCATCGGGTTCTGTGTTGTCTAGTTTTGAAAAAAATAATAGTAGGTATTCAACAGGACACACTAAAAACTTGATGTTAGAATAATTAAATTGAGTATTGAACAGCATTACTTTTGGCTGTAAATTTTTATTTACTTTTAGTTATAGTCTTTTGACTAAAAAGCCATTTTAGTCGTATTTTAGTCATCTGAATTGCTTTAGTTTCAATCTAGTTTTAGTTAACTAAATTTCCAGTAGATTTTAGTCGTTAAATCTCCAGTAGATTTTGTCACTAAATCTCCAGTAGATTTTAGTGGAGACAACTAAAATCTAATGGGTTTCGTTAAAGCCACTATCTGTCTTTTTACCCCTTTCCTAGCCCATTTGTGTCTTTTTGTGTTCTCCTAGCCCCTCTAGGTGTCTCTCTCCCAAGACCTGGTCTGTCTCTGTTGCCCCTTTCACAGCCCCTCTGTGCAGTGTTAATTTTGGCGGCAAATTTCAATTTACTTTTAGTCATAATCTTTTGACTAAAATGCCATTTTAGTTTTAGCTGTATTTTAGTAATCTGAATTGTTTTAGTCTAGTTTTAGTTGATTAAATCTTAATAATTTTAGTCGACTAAATCTCCAGTAGATTTTAGTTGACTAAATCTCCAGCAGATTTTTGTCGACACAACTACAATTTAAAGGGTTTTGTTAAAGCCTCTATATGTGTGTTTTGCCCCTTCCCCAACCCCTCTGTGTTTCTTTGTTTCCCCCAGCCGCTATGGTTATATATCTCCCAAGCCCCTGTCTTTTTTGTTTGCCCCTTCCCCAGCCCCTCTGTGGCTCCCTCACACCCCAGTGTTAATTTTGGCGGCAAATGTCAATATAGTTTAGTCATAGTCTTTTGACTAAAAAGCTATTTTAGTTTTAGTCATATTTTAGTCATCTGAATTGTTTTAGTTTTAGTCTAGTTTTAGTCGACTAAATCTCCAGTAGATTGTAGTTGCCAAATTGCCAGTAGATTTTAGTTGACAAAACTAAAATCTAATGGGTTTAGTTAAAGCCTCTATCTGTCTCTTTACCTCTACCCCAACCCCTCTGTATTTCTTTGTGTCCTCCTAGCCCCTCTAGGTATCTCTTTTACAAGCCATGGTCTGTCTCTTTTGTCCCTTCCACAGCTCCCCTGTGCACTGTTAATTTTGGAGGCAAATTTCAATTTAATTTTAGTCATAGTCTTTTGACTAAAATGCTATTTTAGTTTTAGTGGTATTTCAATCATCTGAATTGTTTTAGTTTTAGTTGTATTTTAGTCAACTAAATCTCAAAAAATTTTGTCGACTAAAATTGTTAGTCGACAAAATTAACAGTGTATTGAAGTGTATGATATGTGGAGATTGGGGCAATCTAAATTTAACAATGTAAATCTATTTTCTGGATATTGAATTCCTTTTTTTTAGTTTACCCTGTTATTCTTAACTACACTAGTATTCTAACTTCAGCTAAGCAACTGTATGCAATCTGAAAGCAACAAAACGCCTAATAACAACTGACTAAAACATGGACCAAAGCACAAGCTGTCTCAGAACTGCACTTCAATAAATTAAAAAATATCAATTAAAGTCCTGAGCCCAAAGCTAAAGTAAAGTTGTACTAATATCATTAAAAAATCTTTTCACATTCCACATGAAAACTACCAAAGACTGTGATATAAATAGGAATAAAAATAAGGTGTGTTCATTAAAATCTGAGTTTATTTACTAAGTAAAAATTGACAAGAGTAATTTCATGCTGACTATTATGATACAAAATTTGCAATTCCCCTTGTCAATTTTCCATAGTTCCTTGTTGTAAGGATAATCCCAAGGACATTGTGTTAAATATATACAATAATATACATATTGAAAAATAAATCCAATAATCCAAAGAGTTAGTTGTGGTAAGGCGAGAGTGTGCCAATAGGGATATGGAAAGAGTTAAAGGATTTTTATTTTCTTCTTACATATCAGCAATTATTTATTAACAATTTCTATGTCGCCATTTGCAGTTATGTTTAATAGTTTGTGTTCGTTTTAATTCATGTTTATTGAGGAAATTCTGAACAAGAGGTCCACAAAGAAAAACCTACCTTACGGATAAATGCAATTTCAAAACTCTTAAACATTAATTTAATAGGTGGCATAAATAGCCACATTGCTGTTGAATTCAGTTGTGCTCGGAAGGCAGTTTAAAGATATGTACTATTTAATAACTTCTGAGCTCAGTCGTTGGATTTGTTTCTGTAGTGTACTGCAAGTGCAACACTTTGTCTCTGTGTGCAGTCACAATCTGTACAAATAATAAACAAAAGACTTGCTGAAGTCTATGAGACCATATCATAAAAGAGTCCCGGTCAGGTCTCTCACACTGAGAAAGCCAATTTGGCCCTTCGATGCTAAATAAGTAAATAAATAATAGCAGTGTCTTGTATAAAGGACTTGTACGGGCCCTAACTTGTGAAATTATTATAAGAGGGCCCATTAGACTAGGCATCTCCTGGGTCCTTATTGGTTGTCATGTAAAAATGGCCACAGAAAACTTGGCACTTACTGAGCCTATTATGGGGCCCAATCCCTCTGTAAACAGGGTACAGGAGACTGAGCATGACCTAGACTCTCAACACCACAGACCATGAAGTAATGCAAGAGAAAAGGCCATTCGCTGGGCCTTTCCTTGTTAATTTAGAGGTCTATAGGGACCTGTTTTTTTTTTTTTTTTTTAAAGTACAAAATTACAGTGGAAAGCAATACACAAGCATATAAAAAGCGAGATTACATAAGCCATTGGTAGTGTGCATCCATAGCTGCATACAAAAGCATTTGCGAGCTATAATCTGTACTGTGGGCAAGACAGTTAGCATTAATTTACACAGGAATAGGATGAATATGATACATAATACATCAGAAACCATAGCACAAGCAATTGTCATCCATCATCAAATGAGGCTGTATGCAATCAAGACATGTCCCACTCTCCAAGATGTTTTGGTTCCCACATGGGGATTTTCAATAGAAGAAGAAAAAGCAAAGAAAAAAAATGGAGAAAAAAGCAAACAGGAAAGAGAGAAAAAGAATAGAGAGGAAAAGAAAAAGGTTACTGCGGAACAAAAATCGGAGTAACATCCAGAATCCTGTCAAACCCAACCAGAAGCCCTCCCCCACAACGCTGTCCAACTTCCCTCTATCGAAGGTCTGTCAGCTATTATCCATTCGTCTGACAGTCGCTATTATCGCTACAGAAGGCCTCCCATGGTTCCCACACTTTGGTGAAGTTCTTCATTGTTCCCCTAACTTGGGCATTGTAGTCAAGACTGCACAAGTGCCCTTCCTGACTGCCCAATGGGAAAAAATACTTATCCTACACCACAAATGCTCATCAAGCTCCAGATATCAGGAGACTAATTACAAACTGCTGGCAATGTGGTACAAAACACCAGACAGCCTGCACAGAATCTTCCTGGCAACACCCAACACATGCTAGAGGTGCGGCACGGGTCCAGGAACACTAACGCACATATGGTGGGATTGCCCCCAGATCATACCATTCTGTGACGCGATTCAACAAAAAAACAGAGAGATACGGGGGAATTCGATAAAGAATTGGCCTTGCTATACTCCACACCACTCTCCATTGGAACATACCGAAGATCCATTCTTAGACACCTCCTGAATGCTGCCAAAGCCCTGATCCCGCTACATTGGAAACTGACCACAATACCCACAACGGCACAAAGGATGGACAAAGTAGAAGAAATATACACTGCAGAACTGGTACAGGCATCCCTATTAGGCACTGAGGAGAAACATGTGGACAGGTGGCGGCCGTGGCTGGCCTACGTGTTGGGGCGAACGGCGGGGGCGGGGGTGATGCGCGGACATGAGTGGAAAGCGGGAATACCTACCTGGCTGGCGGGCTCTCACCCACCCACACCGAACACACCCCCGCTAGAGGTGACTAAACGAGTAATCACCTGGAGGGTGGTCGAAAGCCGATTCCTCCTCCCTCTTCCCCTCTCTCTCCCAACACTCTTGCCAACCCATCCACCCGCCATATTGGCCTCATCCTACAAAACACCTGTAGACTACCACATTAGCTACGACTTTGACAATACACCCGACGACACACAATACATCAAGTAACACCTACTTTAACCGCCCAACACTGGAACGGGCACAAGACGACCGCTAACTAGACGAACACACCACCAAGTAAAAGGCTGATAACGCTCCTTTTCCACCCTAGAAAATCGCAAATTTAAAACGTATGTTTTATTTTTTTTATTTTTTTTATGTAAACAGTTACATGGGACCTGCGTGTCCCATTTTCACAAATATGACATTATATGTTACGTATTGCTATCTACTATGCTCAATAAAAGCTTTGTACGGAAAAAAAAATATACAGGGTGCGCAATAAAATCACCAACACACAGTGAGATATACTTAGTCCAGGGGAAAAATCCTAATGGTACATCTCTGGTTAATCTGTAAAACAGAAAAGCTCCCATGCAAAAAAATAATGGGTCACTCACACTTCCCAAAGCCACATATAACAGGCTCTGGC